GCAGCTCTACGGGTGACAAATGTCATTTTATTTTTCGCGACGCCTGAGAACGTCGTGGCAGGTTCACATAGTCATAGTATGATTATAGCGACTCACATAGGGATATAACAATCCATAAGTTTACGGGATTTTATTTTTAAAGCCTAAATGAGTTTTATGTCGATTTAAAATCACTTTTTATCTCTATGAGTACAGATATTACTGTACACTTTTGGTTTTGGTAGTTACGACTACACATCATTTGAAACCACATTTATACTTTTAAGTATGGTCAATACTTGTTATTTTTTTCGGTCCTCTAATTTAGGACTACATATATATAAAGTATTAACGAACATGAGAACATACAGAAATTTCATTTAATTCAAACGCGTCCATGTCCATTTAAGCACATAACATTTTCTATTAATAAGAAAGGTTAATTGTACATTTTGGTCTTCAGTCATAAGACTACATTACACAAATTTTAAAGAAAATATCGGATTTTCTGGATACATATTCTAACGCTTTTACAAGGAAAACGATTTACTTTTCTAACGAAATCTCTTATGAACTCACCAACCTTTGTGTTGACACTTTTCAAAACTACTTGTATTCTCAGGAATTCAGTGAAAACAGGAAATCAACGACGTTTTGAGGATGGGACGATAAATCGTCAAACAGTTCATTTTGTATTATAATGTAATTGATGTGAATCATGTAAACATGTGCTTTGATGTAACGTTTTCAATTATATTTGTGTTGGTTGTATTACTTTGAGCACTATTATACTCATTGTTGTGATACTCTACATGAAGTCCTCCACCCCCGGACGTTTCCGCCATCCTTGGTTTGGGGGTGTGACAACATCCTTATCCCTGACCCCCATCTGATGGTAACCTGACCTCAAATCAATCTTAGAAAACCAAGATGCACCCTAAAGTTGATCAAATAAATTGTCGATCCTCGGTAACGGGTAACGATTTTTCATTGTGAGCTTATTAAGCTCCTTGTAGTCTATGCACGTCATGTGCGAACCTTCTTTCTTATTGACAAATAAAACCGGTGCACCCTAAGGCGAACTACTCAACCTAATGAACTCCATATCTAAAAACTCTTGAAACCGAGTGGATAACTCATGCATCCCTAAAGGTGCAAGACGATGTGGCGCCTTGTCTATCAGAGTCGTATCCATAATAAAATCGATCCTGAAATCAACCTACCTCTTCGAAGGCGCACCTGAAAAATCCTCAAGGAAGGCGTATGGAAACTCACAAAATACAGGCACATCGAAAACCGACTTCTTCTTCCCCTCTTCATTGTCAACAACATAAGCAAGATATCCCGAGCAACCATGTCGTAAATATCTCATAGCCCTTGCGAAAGAATAGAAAGTCGATCTAGCTATGACACCCACACTGTGGATGATTAACTCTCCCCCACTTAGAGTTCAAACTGCCACCAACTGCCATTCACAATCAATCAGAGGTTTAAAACAACTCAACCAATCTATGCCCACAATCACATTGACCTTCCCATAGGAATAGGAATACAATCAATCAGGAATCTCACTCTGAAAATCTCCATCATACAGTCATGATAAACCTTCAAAGTTGCACTGTACGATTATCGACAATGATGACATCCAACAAACGATCAAGTGCTCCTAAAACAACATCAAAGCTCCTATTGAATGAAAGTGATACAAAGAACTGACTCATCCTAGAGAAAATATTTCAAAACCCTTATTTTAGCATCTAATAATGTGTGGTGTCATAAATTACAAAATATAATCTATATATGTATAAGTTGCAACTTCAAAAAAAAAAAAAAATTGATAACCGACGACACAATAAGGATTAACCTATTGTTAGCCGGTTAAGCCTTCTTAATTGAACCATTCTTAATTATTTATGTCAACTAAGTCATACAAAAATATTACATTAAATTAGAAAAAATAGCACTTTTAAAACATTAGTACTAAAAAAATTAATATAAAATTTGTAAACCAAAACAAAAACAAGTTAACGGTTACCAAAAAAAGAAAAGAAAAGGAAAAAAAAAAAAAAAGCACATACGGGCAACGTACAGAGAAAAAGTGCAACGTGTCATTATCACAAAAACCCATCAATTTTTCCTCATTTTCGCCTAAAACACGCTTTTCCAACAGGAATAATCTTTCACATGCATCATTCACTTGTACAGTACAAATATCTTGTTGCTATCAAACTCCATCACCACGATATTCGCATTCTCTCTCTGCCACTTCACTTTCTCTCTCCCTGCAACTTCACTCTTTCTTCAATTTTCGCACACAGAATCTCTTATCTTTCTGCAATCTCACACACTTTACCCCTCTTTCTCGTTATCTCCTTGCGGGATTTCGAAAATGGGGAGCAGAATCCCATCACACCAGCTCAGCAATGGACTATACGTATCGGGTCGACCCGAGCAGCTCAAAGAACGCCAACCCTCAACTGGGTCACGAGCCATACCCTACACCGGCGGCGATGTCAAAAAATCCGGCGAGCTTGGGAAAATGTTCGACATACAAGTTTCAGACCACCAACAAGTACCATCGCTGCTTAAACCTCACCGGGCTTCATCTTCTTCTCAACTGACAAGCGGTTCCTTCAGATCCGGACCCAATTCCGGCTCCGGTCCCATTCCTAAGCGAGGTTCCGGGTCCGGGTCTGGTTCTGGCCCGATGGTCGCGCTTCAACCAACTGGTTTGATCACATCCGGGCAGCTTGGATTGAGCGCCGGAAGAAGGTCCGGTCAGCTGGACCCCTCAGCGTCCGTGATTTCCACAGGGAAGACTGTTTACGGGTCGTCTGTTACGACGTTAGGGTATGATGATGTGAGGCTAGGGTTTAGGGTGTCAAGAAAGTTAATGTGGGTGTTGTTGGTGATGGTACTCATGGGTTTGATGGTGGGGGCGTTTTTAACGGTGGCGTTGAAGAAGCCGGTGATTATGGTGGCGGCGGCGGCGGTTTTAGTTCCGGCTATGATAATCATACTGTGGAATTGCGCTTGGAAGAAGAGAGGATTGTTAGCTTATTTACGAAAATATCCCAATGCTGAGCTTAGAGGCGCCATTGATGGTGAATTCGTCAAGGTCACAGGGGTAATTCTATTCTATCTACATTACATATGTATTGTTTTTTCTTATATAAGTATTATATATTAATTAGCGGATTTAATAATTGAACGTAGATTGTGACATGTGGTAGCATTCCTCTTGAATCATCTTTTCAAAAGGTATCAAGGTGTGTATATGTTTCCACAGAGTTGTATGAATACAAAGGATGGGGAGGGGCATCCGCGAATGCTAAGCACCGTTGCTTCTCTTGGGGGTGTAGTAATTCCGAGGTTCATTTCTCTTTATTACAGCATTATACTTTCAACTTTCTTCTTATATTTTTTTGAAAATCTACAAAATTAGAACATTAAACCTATCCAATCTTCTCTTGTAAAAAAAAAATCTATCCAATCAAAACACTGAAAATTGCTTTGTATTCGGATGACATTGCTATAAATGTGCAAATTTATGAAAACACAATGCTATAGTAAACAAATGAATGAAAGTATGTTGCTATTTATTGTATTTTAACGGCAACCATTTTTGTTAACAGAAATACGTAGGTGATTTTTACATATCGGATTTTCAATCGGGGTTAAGGGCTCTTGTGAAAGCTGGATACGGAGCTAAAGTGGCTCCTTTTGTCAAAGAAACTACGGTTGTTGATATTACCAAACAAAACCGAGAACTATCTCCAAATTTTCTTAGTTGGCTTGCCGACCGTAGCCTCTCGAGTGATGACCGTGTTATGCGTCTCAAAGAAGGGTAATCCACTTCTTTCATAAAATTACATTTTTGCCCTTCATCATTGACTCTTGATTTCAATTTTTGCCCTCTTCTTCCTCATGTACCTTGTAACAAATGCAACGAAGTACAACTTGTTCTGTCATGTGTCCCTTGTAACAAATGCAACGCAGGACAACCTGTTCTGTTTTGTCCTGTCCTGATATTGTCTTTCTATATGACGCAGGTACATCAAAGAAGGGAGTACAGTGAGTGTGATGGGTGTGGTGCGGCGACATGATAACGTGGTCATGATCGTTCCACCAACCGAGCCCATGTCCACGGGCTGCCAGTGGGCATGCGGGCTTCTTCCCACTTATGTTGAAGGCCTTGTGTTGACTTGTGACGAAAGTCAAAACGCTGATGTGATACCTGTGTAAATTATTGCTTTATGATCGAAATTACCGTAATGCCCTCCCCTCGGCTCAGGTAGCGACCCCACCATAGCTTTGCAGACTATTTATGTATAGAAGTTGCAGATGGAGCCTTGGTGGCTTGGTGAATTTTAGGGTTGTTTGTGATGAGTGCAAGGGTAGTTTGGGTATTTCCTTGTACATGTTGGCTTAAGTTGTGGTAGATTAGGGTTATTGCTGCATTGGAAGTTGTACGGTACAAGTTTCTCAATGCATTTCTTGCAAAATAGTCCCCAGAAGTTACATATGCTTTAACATGGAAGTGGGTGACAGTAGTATGATGATTAATTGTAATAAAATGATTTAAAGTTGAGAATAAACAATTTTACTTTTAGTTTAGTAAACTTCAATTATATCAAACTCCACCGGTTTCTTGAAACATGCAAAAATCCGTACCTATATTAAAATTGAACTAAAAAACCATCGCGACTTGAGTTATATTGTTAGCTATACATTATATTGTAATCTATAAATATCTTTGGGATTAATGAGAATGTATCACGGAATATTCTAAATATCCTATTATGTAACATTAAATTTGTTTGAAGATAGAAGGTATAATGGTCATTTTTTTTTTATAAATTAGCTGCTGAGTTGTTAACATAGATATTTATATTGTAATTTTTAAATATCTTTGGGATTAATGAGTATGTATCACGGAATATTCTAAATATCCTTTTATGTAACATTAATTGCTGAGTTGTTAACTTAGATATTTGTGGAATGTAACTAAGTTTTAAGGACTCTAAATAAAAAATAATGAAACATATGGATTTTGTCCCTAGGAGGGTTGAAATCACAAATATAAATCAATAAAATTTAACGCCGGATAATCATAATAATAATAGTTTGACAACATAATTGATTTAACAATAAATTATGCATACATTCTTAAAAAACCAATGTGGAGCTGCAGTCCCTTCTCTTTTTAATACAGACAGCACCATTTCTGCATAATGATAATATCAGATACAAACGTTAAATACTTCTTCAAAGTAATAATAATCATCATGCTATTTTATTTTGTGTCCATTAAAACTAATTATTTTTTGAAATTTATAAATTAAGGATTTGTAAGCGGATAAACCAGAAAAACCGGTTGCAAAGAGTAGATTAGAATTGTTGTATTAAAAAAATCATAACATTACACATTGAGATTATGAGACTTATGTAGACGTTGTTACAAATTCTAGAAATTATTAAAGTTATATATAAGAGTAGGTTAGAATTGATGTATTAAAAAAGATCATAACATTACTCATCTGAGATTATAGGACTTATATGGACGCTGTTACAAATTCTAGAGATTATAATAATTATAGTTTCTGACAAAATAATAACAATTATCGGGAATAACAATTATTGTTTTTGGAAATTACAAATGATACGTAATCTTTTCTTGTTCCATTTAGATCAACAAACCAAATGACGTATAATCCAACAATATCAGGTGTTAGTGAAAACGTGTCTCTCAGTCAAAAGTTAATTGCTAAAGTCTTGTTGGAGACAAATGAGTAAATTATATTAATTTAACAAAATTAGAAAATATAGGGTGCGTTTGGGTGTGCAAAACTGTTTTTATTTCCTAAGAATTTTTTTTTAGAAAATAGAGTTAAATTTTCATTTTCAGTTTTTAATAAAAACGCGTTTGGTTGGAAACGGTGGAATTTTTATTTTCCATCTTAGAAATTTAGAAAACTTTGAAAAACTGTAAAACTCACTTTTCTAACTTACATACAATTTGAAAGACTGAAAATTTTCATTTTTTTAGAAAACTTTGAAAAACTAAACGAACTAAACGCGTTTTCAAAATTTCATTTTTTCTTGGAAAATTTTCATAGACACTAGAAATTTTTTCACAACTAAACGCACCCATAAAGGTTTGTATTTCATGTGATCAAAAAGATACATACCTTGATTCTTTTGCTATCTTTTGTAGGATTTTTGGGGATATCGGGATTATCCTGTTGAGGGATTGGTGGGAATTTGGTGGCTGCAATGTGTTTTTCCTCTTTGACTTTCTGAAAGATAACTGTAAAACCATCTCCAGATCTTGGGTCCTTTTCATCCCATGCCCCAAACATTGGGACCGATGCTGATCTATGTGACTGTCATAATGTAAAATTTACAACTTTTAATGCATTAGGTACATGTACTTTCAAGATTATGAGAACATGTGAACCACACACATTCCAAAACACAAAAATAGTATTAAATCTTCTTCGATTACACTTGCAACTTATAAAATAGGTGTTGATGAAAGAGTGATGCACCGAAATTGATGTTATATATTTAATATTACAACGTCAAACTTGAGTTTGTACATAAATTGTTAAATGTCTAACAAAAAATTAGAATTTAATCCAAGCAAAATATGGTAGTACAGAATTTGTGTTGGGAGTTTGAACATAAGTTCAATATTGGATATGATTTTTGAAATTTTTAGCATGCATTTAAAATTGTTATTTTTATTCTAGCATGTTATCATAATATAGAAAATTATTATAATAAAATATTAGTTTTTTTTTTTTTTTTTTTTTTATTTTTTTTTTTATCATCACACGATTAAAGTATGTGGAATTCGAAGGTAGACAACTTCATTTTGAAATGCTTAAATATCAAGAATCATCATTTAAGTCATTAAGTATCGTCTTTGTTTATAATGAAATAGTAGTTAATTACACATAAGTGTTATGCTTTAATAAAATAAACAGTATAATAATAAAACATATGCTATTTTATTATTGAATATTAAAAGTTAGAATCAACAATTGACATGGAACCATGTACTCTGTATATTTAATTTAAAATGTTATTATGTGTATTCATCATTCACATAAAAAAAAAATCCCTACATACGGGATGAGATACACCAAATAATTAGGAGGGGAGTACGTATAGAATAAGCCTTACTTTATGGTTTATGTGTTTTAAAAGTTTGAAATTGCCTAAATTGGCTCAACATAAATAAAGAACAAAATTTCACATACCACAATATCATCGGCTGGATTATATCCATATCTTGGTCTATTGGGTGCGGACGAAGGTGAAGGTGAAGGTGAAGGTGGTGCAAAATTACTTGTCATTTCTCTTGTGTTTGTGTTTGAGCTCTTTTTTCGATCTGATTTGTAACTTTGTTGCTTACTTGATAAATCTGAGATCGAACTCCTTTCACTACTTACTTTTGATGAGGTTGTACTTTTCTTGCCTCCAAATTTCATGTTTTTATCTGCAAAAACAATATCATCGTTGCTGACATCATCGTTATCGCCTCCATAAGCCATAAAAGCTTCAGGGTTTTCCTCTGGGTCGTTAGGGTTTATCATGACACCAGAACCTTTATCTTTTCGTGCGTTGTCAAAGTAGGCTGTGTAAGGGACATTGTCAGCATCCCAACTCCCAAACTTCGGGATATGCGAGCGTTGTTGTTGCTGCCATAAATAATTGAATAGTTATAATTAATTGATTTTGATTTGTAAGTATTTCAAACGGTAAATTATGAAGATAGTAGCGGAAGCTTATAAATAAAGAAAATCAAGATTATTATTGATTAGAAGCTAATAAATGAACAAAATCAAAGTGATAAGAAATAACTTACAGACATGATTGGTTCTGGTTGAAAATTGAAAGAAGAATGAGAAAAAGGAAATGATGACAGAGTGAAGAACTCTTGCTTTTGTTATTGCGTGTGGGACCATTTTGAAAATTTATATTAATTTTCGGCCTGCAGGAAAAAATCCAAGGACTTGGAGGGGTGGTTCTAGACAATATTTTGATAACTACAATGTTTCGAAAGTTCAAGACAAAAAAAATTCTTTAATTTTTGACACTACGTTAATAAACTTTATTACAGACTGATTATTATATTTGTAGTAAAATAAGACATGTATATCGATCCACTCGAATATGATTTATAATATAAATTTTTGTAGTCTAAATTGTATGTTACATTATTCAATAAACCGAATAATTTTTTTAACAAGAATAGAATTTGATCACTATCCTCTAATTTTCGATGAAGAAAACAATTAAAAACTATCTACAGTTGTTAACTCTCATAATTTAGTTATTTTAATACACATAATGATTCATTTATAATGAGATTTGTAAGAATAACGTTTTTGCTTTTTTAGTAGTATTGCACATTTGTCTTTCTTTTTGTCTCCGACTATATCAAAGTTATTCTTCTTTGTTCATATTAATTGTACTAATGATCTCATTAGTATTCCTTTTGCTTATAAAATCTACGTAAATGTTTTTTTTTTTTTGGTTAAAAACTGAATCATAGTGTTAAAATGAAAGAAAAAACACATGGCGTGATGGCTTGCAAGAAGAATAGTCGAGAACTTAACCACGATAGATGGTTTTAACTTTTAACCGCAAGTATATTGTTATAGTTACTAAAATGCAAGGAAAATACTACCAAGTTACAGAAATAAATAATTTTGGACAGAAAAAACTATTTGTGATATCTTATACAATACTAAAAAACTCTCTTTGGTATATACCTAACTTAGCATTTATAATTAGCAAAAAGACTAGTAACAAATCGGTTTTTCTTGTAAATCCGTGGTATTTTTGACACATATTCACTCTAATTCCAATAATCTCTAATAAGTGTTTTTTTTTTTTTTTTTTTTTTTTTTTTTTTTTTTTTTTAAATCATTTGTCACAATCTCATTCAATTTGCTAAATATCATTTTGTGGTTATTTTGAATTTTTTTTCCACATGTTATTTTATAAATTTTTCTATTTTATTAAAGTACACATAATATTTTAATATAATAATTACAAAAAATATAGTAATAAATAAATATCAATTTCATTAATGAAGTTATCTTTTAATTTAATTTTGAAAAAACATCATAAATGGTCCCTGTGATTTTCCAAAATCTGAAGTTTAGTCCCCATGGTTTAAAAACCTCATAGATGGTCCCCGTGTTTTCAAAACTTTTGACGATTGGTCCTTATTGCTAACTCTGTTAAGTTTGTCCGTTAACTAAAGGGTATTTTTGTCATTTCACTGCCATAGGGACTATTTATGATGTTTGCACTTGTTTTAAAAAAAAAGAAAAAAATGAAATAAAAAAGGTCTCTCCCCCTTTCTCTCTTTCCCTCTCTCTCTCTCTCTCTCTCTCTCTCTCTCTCTCTCTCGTCGCACAGTTCATAATCGGGTGTATTTTGCTTGGAAAACCGATTGCGATTGATGTTAAAAATCTATTGTGATAGGTTTAAAAAACCCTAATTCCCATTTACAAACCCAAACCTCTCCTTCTCGTTATCCCTCCAAGCAAAAAGCAGCAGACGCTGCCTCCTCTCTACCGAGAAATCCTCTCGCCTTGTAATTGAGCGGTACTACTCCAAAATGACCTTGGATTTCCACACAATAACAAGAACATCTAGGAAGAAGTTCGCATCATCCGTCAAAGCGCCTCCGTAACAAGATCGTTGGATTCTCAACTCATCTAATGAAGCGTATACAGAAGGGTCCAGTGAGAGGCATATCACTCAAGCTACAGGAGGAAGAGAGAGAGCGAGGCAGAGGTCAAGAGATAATCGACTGGTTCTGGGGGTTGCTCGATGGAGAGAATAGATTTGATTTTGCATGTTTGAAGCTCTATGTTTGTAAATCCCATTTGAAGAAGACGAAAGGATTTTTGTAGACTGAGTTCTTTAGTGTATTCCTAATTGAAATATGATTCAATCTGCATCTAATTGTTGTTCTTCTCCATTTCATCGAAAACGTTGAAACTGGATTGTGTTCCTCAATTTTCCCCTAGCCCCCAACCTCCTCTCTCTCATGTTCGCGTTTTCAGGCGATCGGAGGACCACCCACCTCTGGTGGGTGAGTCTTGGCAGTCTAATGAAGAAGAAATGGGGATAGCAACAGCAAGGATGGGGGGTGTTTGTGTGGTTCTAAATGAAGAAGAAAACTAGAGAGAGAAAGAGAGAGAGAGAGAGAGAGATGACACTTTTGTATATTATTTCTTTTTTTTATGAAATAAGAGAAATCATCATAAATGGTCCCTGTGGTAGTGAAATGACGAAAATACCCTTGAGTTAACAGACAAAACTTAACGGAGTTAGCAATAAGGACCAATCGTCAAAAGTTTTGAAAACACAGGGACCATCTATGAGGTTTTTAAACCATGGGGACTAAACTTCAGATTTTGGGAAATCACAGGGACCATTTATGATGTTTTTTCTTTAATTTTTAAAAATTAAAGCCCATTAGTTTCTTTTATTTATTTAAATTTAAAAGATAAAAAACATTGTTATTATAATAATTCATTATTTTTCTTATTTTCTTATAAATTTAAAGTTCTTAAATTTTTTGACATTTATTTATTTTTGAAAAATTAACCCATATAATACATGATTCTCACAACTAGTATGTCAATATGCATCGCCGAGTCTCTCACTAATATTTATCTTCATAAAATTGCAAACAAAAATAAACACGATTATAAATATTTGCTTAAACAAAATGATTGACCATCATTTTTATTTTCCTCCCTATCCCTCATTTTCAATTCCCGATAACTAAATCGATGCCCAACCTTGCCTCCTTTGATCATTGTCTCCAATGTACTCTGGCCATCGAAGCTTATATGTCGAATTACCTTGGAATATGTTCTTTGGTAATTGTGGAACCTTACTCCATCTCAGGTTTGATATTGTTCATAAAAAAATCATGTGTTTGTATGCATATGTTGCTAGTCTAATACTCCACTTTGTTGAGATGGATGCTTGGGCACTAAGCTTTCACATCATAATCCTTATTTAAACTCTTACAAAATCATTTCCTTTTTAAGTTGCTTAGTTTTAATTCAATTAGGTTTTATATATGTATTTAAACATTTAAATGTAATGCTTTGATTTCAAGTAAACATAATAACAATTCTAGTTCACCTTATTATATAGGGTATTAGAGAGAAGGATACTTAAAGACCAACAACCATCAAATATGGTCGGAAGCGGCGGTTGAACTTCTGGTTTCCCTATCTATACACTCAAAATTGAATAAAAGTAAATAGATGGGAAAATCTTCATCCTTGTTTTCGAACTATTGGGTTTCATCTAAATATAAGTTTTGTTTAAATGTTAATAGAAAATCTCAATCCTCATTTATAGATTTCTAGGTTTCATCTCATGTGGGACATCGATTCTAATTGTCGAACAACTTTTATGGGTTAAAGATGGATACCTTTCAAGAAGACATAGGGTTAAAAAGTTTTTTGGGTTGGATATTGAAACACCCATGGTATGGGTTAGAAGTAATTAGGTTATCTTTTCAAAAACATTTAGTAATTCAAAAGAAGTATTGCTGAATTTGGATTCTAAAACTTTAGTTTTAGAATTTAAGTTTGAAAATTTAATATATGAAGGTGTACGATTATAGCAAAACAATAGTCCAAGGATAATCACTACAAATACATGGACTTCTATATATCCCAACTATTTTTACTATCCAAAGCTCCCATTTGCCACTCTAAGTACATTTCAAAATAGTAACCTTAGATTTGGAAAACCTAGTGAGTAAACTAGAGTTATGTTGGTGATTTTAGTGTTACCATGTCATTTTAAGTAACCGGAACTGATATGTGAGCTAAGGGGTTTCATAATTTGTATGTTAATATATGTACGAGGTTGTGCGGAGTGCACACATGTATAAGATCGAATTAGAAGCCGGTTCGACGACTAGTTGGGGGTCTAGGGGCAACGCCCAATCCGGGGATTCCAAAGGGGCAGCGCCCCTTTGGCGGGATATAGGGGCAGCAGAGGGTTACGAAATTTAGCTCTCGTTTGCTTCAAACTTTCATAGAATCTTTCTAGCAAATTGGATTATGATTTCTGTGCCTAGAATTGTAAGTGTCCACTTGGATTATCCTAGGCTGAATCTCTTGTGACCCAGACATAGGGTAGAAATATCAATTCGGAAAGCGCTCTCACGATCCAAGTTGGTATCCAAATCTCCACCATAAACCCTAAAATTTCTTACAAATTAGACTACAAAATAGAATTGGATAGTTGACAATAATCAAATTCCAAAGTCAAACTACCAAAAAAACATTTCAAAACCATTTGTATCTATAAGTATACGATGATAAGATGCATTAAAACTAATTATTTCTAAATCCAACTGTGATAACCCAAAAAGAAATGAATGGTATATATCATAATTAACTTATTATATTAGTTTTTTAGAGAATTATAACTAGGTGTAATTAAGTTTAATTAGGAAAAATAATGAAGATTAAACCCTAAAACCGTCACCTTGATTAGCAACATAAATTCGTGCATGTGAAGGGGTTATAACGGCTACAAACATGTGCATTATAAAGGGCTCGAGAAACCAAGTGGAATGCCCACTAGAATTGCGAAAAGATGCGAAGATTCGAGTAAGAAATCGGAGGAAGAAGGCTGTGAAGATTTTTGGTATTTTTTTCAAGAAATTGAGGTATGTTCTTCAATTAAAGCACAATATAATCACTTAGTTAGGGTTAGTAGTTCGCATTACGTGTCTTGGTTCCGTCTCATTTCTCTGTTCGGCTAATAATCGATGAAATTTGGGTGTATAAATATTTGGTTATATTTTCTGAAATAATCTGGTTTGAGATTTTTTTGTTAATTGAATGTGAAAACATAATAGTAAGTAGTAGAGACA